TCACCAGCTGCCTTCGCTGACTGCATACTGAAGATTAGATGGCCCGCGGGCCAGAAAGAATTAGCAACAAGGAACTCTGGCTGGCATCAAATCAACCAAGAGCCGATCACTGAACAAATATGTAGGAGAAAATGGAGATGGACCGGGCATACATTGAGGAGTCCGTCAAGTGAAATCGTGCGCCAGTAAATGGCTCCAGTGGGTCGTCGGTGCCAGGAGACCATGTGAAGAGGAGATGAGGGATTGTGTGAAATCTTGGACCCAGCTGAAGAGGACGGCAGAGAAAACAACAAAGTTGAGATATGTTTTTGAAGCCCTGTGTTCCACTCAGAACCCAAAGGAATAATAATATAATTTATCTGAAACGTGTAATCTATTTACAGAACACATTTCGAACATCGCCATCACACATGTACATGTCATATGCATTTATGTAAGAGGTAACAGATCACAGAGGATCACATTTTGATTAACATAGATCAAAATAATGACGGGTAAAACTAGAAGATAATGAGGTAGGAAAATGAGATTAGAAAAAGTGGGGATGGAAATATTATGAAGTAAAATAAACTCTGGTTTTATAATTGGATTACCAAGACAGATTCAAAGTAATGACAAATTTCTGAACACATAAAACAGCTTTAAGCTTTTTTATGGCTAAAGCTTCAAAGAACTTTGGTATATGACTCAAGCCTTTTCTAAATGTTGGTTTAAAGGTACTATCGAAATTAACTTTATGACCCATTTCTATGATGTGCTTTGCGATAGATTACTTTGGACACTTATTTGCAGGGTTATGTGAATCAGATTTTTTCTGTTCTGTAGCTCTAACTTGTAGAAATCGATGAATCCACCCTACTTACGTGTAACCATACACAGTGAAATATGACACTAGCTTTCATTAAATGTGTGAACGTTTACGGAACCACATCAATTTCATTTTCCGTGTGAAATAAGTTATACTGTGTAGTAAATTCTATTGAGTGCCTCTCTGAGTTTTGTTTATTGACCAGAATTTTGTATTCATCCATGAATGCTAAAGATACGTAAACAATCTTTCCGGGGGCTGAATGGATTCATAGAGCCCCTTGCTTCATGCTTCTAAAGCACTTAGTGAATTACTCTAATGGTACTTTACTGAGGTTTCACACTTCTTCAATAGCATTTCAATATGATGTCAGCTCATGATGAAATACTCCAACCAATATATATATATATATATATAGAGAGAGAGAGAGGATGAAACTAAAGGATATAGATAATCATGCAACTACTACATGAGCAAAAATGTACTCACTGATGTGTGACATTTAAAAGCAATGACACTTCTTTTATCCTAATCGTTTTCTCAGATCCTTCACCTTTTACTGCTTTCACTCTCCTAAACTAATTTTGATATGACTACTCATGAAAACTCTTCCAAAATAACAACACTTTTCCAAACATTTGCTAACCTTATTCAGTAGCTACATGATTTCGCCGAATGCCAAGTGAATCACAACTGAATACTCAGAGAAACCTTTGAGGCGAAGATAGGAGTAAAATATGGATTCTAACTACCAGTGATGGTATTCGTGACTGTGGTGGAGTGGATCACGCAATAGGCGATAAGGAGTGGGAAGATGGTTGTACGTCTAGCAAACCAGAAGACTCCAGACGATGTCGAATTCATAGATGATTTATATCTAATGTCACACCAATTCGAAGATCTACAGGCGGAAACCAACCAGTGTGCAGAAAGATCAGTGAAGATATGACTCTAGATAGATACTGAGAAGACAAAGGCGATGAAGATAACTAACAAGCAACCATGAACACTAGTGACTATCAGGGGCAGAACGTTGAAGGAAGTTGCCTCTAACTTATTTGGCCGTCATCGGTTTAACTATAGGCGGCCAAACAAAAGTGCCGAAAAAATGTAGATGAATCCGACACACACTGAGGAAACCGTTGTGTGGCATCGCACGTCAGTCTCTCAAGTGAAACCCAAATGAGAAACGACGAGTTGGACGAGGGTCCTAGAGTGATATAGAAGAGATCATGTGAAGACGAATTAAGAGCCTATGGTCAATCGTTGGTTCAGCTAAGGAGAATTAAGGGGAAAGGGATGAAATAAAGATGTGCTACTGAAGCCCTATTTTCCACTCGGAACATAAGGGGATAATAATAACCGTGATATTATCACAATGAAACCCCATATTCTTCTAAATCTCACTTTAATAAATCTTCATATGATGATAAAACATGCTGAAACCAATTATTCGGTCTAGCGGTTCCAGCCACATCAGAAGTTACTTATCTTCTTGGCTTAAAGAGGTGAATACTTGTTACCTCCATTATACCGTTGAGCATAGCTGACGAAACTATAACCAGATATATTGAAGTTTCGAATACGAAGTAAATATTTAAATAATTTATGGAAAATCAGTTAGTGTGAGGTTATATGATTTGCTATTTGCAAATATTTTACACTACTTGTACTACTAAAAGTGATTGTTTTATTCTTACCTTCGACAAATGAAAACTCGGTAATTTCAGCCATTTTTCAGTGCATAAACTTTTTATCCATTTACCTAGAGAAAATGGAAGTATAGGTGGATTTTATGTGGGATATGAATGGTAGTATTCATTAATTTATGGGATTTTGAATACCAGGTTACAAAATTAGGGTTGTGTAAATCGATATCTTGTTTCCAATTATTAAAAAATAGCGGTCCTGATATCAGGTTTGAGTAGGTTTCATCAACATTGTGTTTTTTTACGAGGTATCAACCGATAGAAATAAAGGAGTACTAAATAACTATTTTGTCTTAGCTTTTACGATATTCCTTAATGTGCTTGAACGGTTTCGTAAGTGATCATGTCTACAAATTTACTGGTGTTTTGATGGTTCAGGAAGGAAAGAATTATTTGCCAACCTTACTTGAGACTTATTTAAGTAAATTTTTTGCTTAAATCCAATAATAATACTGGTAAATATTTAATAAAAGCAACTAAAATTAACCTAATGTATTAGACCAACAGATAATGATGAATAAATATACTCATCCTGGACGAGACAGCATATAAATTTTAACAGCTTTGTTCTAATGTAGTATAAAAAGAACTCAGTCGGAACATAGTTTAATAGAGCATACAAAATTTTTTCTGACAGTGCAAGTGAACATGACAAAAAGACTTTGAGGGATATTTCATCTACAGATGGATATTCTAAGAAGCTCACCAATAAATACTCTAAAGAAATAAGCCCCAGAAAAACTATCCAAATAGTTTCAAAGAAAGCTGTATATATCAGTCTGCCATGTAAAAGAGATGACGCAAAAGAAGTAGTTGAGCGAAGACTTGGTAAAGCTATCAGGAGAACTTATTATGTTGCGAAATTCGTGTTCTTTGACATCACCAAGCGAGTGCTTCAACAATCTAAGACCGGTCACCAGTCCCCGATACTTCAGACAAAATATTTCAGTTTGAGTGTGTTTGTGAAAGCAAATACATAGGTTGTACAGAAAGGCGATTGTCTACTCACATGATGGAGCATTTGCCAAAGTGGTTGAAAACAGCTGAATGTAAAGTGCTAAAAAGTTAGATAAAGAAGCATTTTGTGGACTACGGACATGATATAGACGCTGTCAAGCCATTCACTGTTGTCAGTAGACAAAGAAACAAGAAGATGCTTGCATCTGCAGAGGAGTGTGCAATTCGAGCTTACAAACCAGGTCTCTGTGTACAAAATAAAATGGTTGTTGCTCTGAATCTACCATGGTAGTGTGTTTTAATTATTGACTGTTATTATTATTATCATCACCGACACTTTATTCTATATTTTATTCTACCTCTTAGTATTATTCCTGGTTCATTTGAAACTATCTTTTATCAGTAGCAGTATCTTAGCTCGTTTTAACACCATTATTGTTCATATTATTACCTTTACTAGTGTTATTTTTATTAATATTATTCAGTTCACAATTCTTGATATATTTAAGTTCTTTCTCTGATGACTAATTGTTTATTTAAGTGGTGTAACTGAACCATAATGCATTTTTATCCCAATTTTGGTTTCTGAAACTCCTCCTTATCTACCTGAACATGACCTGGAAAACATTTGCACCTGTCGTTTTGCATGATTAATTCAACATAGTCTATTCACCTATCAGTCTTATATCTCTCAATGTAATTCTGATGGTACATATATGTTCCTGTATACAGAGTATTCAGCTGAAGGGTTCTACCAGAATTTGATGGATTCATTAAATTCTGTTTTATTAACTTCTGTTGCTTGCCTAAAATATTCACTCAATGAGATTGCAAAGGGAGATACTGCTCAAATTATCCATTACTTACTAGTCCACTGAAAAGACTATCGGCAGATGCATGTCTTGACGCCATTGATTGAGTTATCAAAATACTTTATTATATCATTTGTGAACAATCGGCTATCAGATAAATTATTTGAATAAATTTGAACTTTTGACATATATTTCCCATCCTTATTGTCTCTATATTGTCAATGACGTTTATTTCGTAGGAAATACAGCAAAGGAAATGCTTCACATTTTCTTCAGGTTGTTTCCTGTCTTTTCACAGGGCTTTATATACCTCATGCATTCAACAGAGTAAACCTCTTTCTCCCTCTCTCTGTATGTGTATTTATCATATAGTTTCAACGGATAAAGTTTCCTGACAATCTTCATTGTCTTTATTGCTCAAATGATCATGTTTTGTAAGCATGAATCAATGTTATATGCCGGAAATTCACCAAAAAATACATGTTTCGAACTCATTTTGAAGGGATTTATGATCTTTCTGAACCTATTCTCCACAGAGACGAACAAAAAAGCAGATGTATTGATGCACAAAATAGCATATTTCCTTGTATTTGTAACGAACAAATCAAATTTTAAGTTATTTGGTATAGCACCATATATATATATATATATATATATATACAAATAAAGGGAATGAGGACTTCATGAAACCGCTTCAACCTTATATGACGGATCAGTTTAGCTGATTAGACTTGAGCGCTCCTAATGTTGTTCCGCTTATAGAATAGATCCAGATAACTGTACCAGCCACTGACTGACCTCTTCTATTTTCTTAATTCTAATCAGTTCACGTTTATTGATTCCAAACTTCGTGTTAATAATTTCTGGGACTGATGTAATACATTTTTATATATTATTATTCATATAAGCATGACTAGTCCAATTCACATAACTGTTCAATCTACCCCAGATAAAATTACACAGAATGACCTAGAGGTGAATGTAACACCTATGACTAATAACGAAGTCAACGAAGATAATTACCGCGGTAATAATAATGATGATATTGTAAGGAATGTTTGTGATACTCGTGATAATAATGTCACCAGTGTTCTCCCAAACAAAGACCAGCCAATTCAACAAAAATTAATAATGGATAAAATGGAGAAGAAAGTCCAGAAAAAGAATTTTAAACAATTTAAGCAAAAAATTCATCGTAAAAGTTTACCTCACATAGAAATCAATAAACAAAATAAAGAGGAAAATGAAAATCAGCCTGTTGTAAGGAAACGAGACAAGTGGAATAAGAAAATGGACTTTTTATTATCTGTTATCGGATTCGCTGTTGACCTAGCAAATGTTTGGAGATTTCCATATTTGTGTTATAAAAATGGTGGAGGTAAGTAGATTATAATTTTGACTACCTAAAATCTATCGAATTTTGGTGTCGCTAGTTATGTTAAATAATGTTGTAGTAATCTTGCCTTCACATTTGTTACTAACTGTATATTGATATGTTTATAACGGATCACTGTTGAGTCTTACATCTAGCTGACAGAATAAAGTTACAGCTGTCTTCATATGTTCTTACATAATCAGTAAGACTAATGTAACTAGTAGATAGTGAGCCTGTATGAGACAGTCATAAGTTGACAGACTGTTAATCAAGTAACGGGTGATATTTGAAAACCCGGATTGAGGGAGAGATGGAACCAGCTACCTCCAAATTACTAAATCAGGTCTCTACCAACTAAGGTACGAGATCTAAATGTTAACTAGATCGCCGTTCATTTTTATCACCAAGTGCGAATGAAGGAAACTTTATTTTTCGTTTGTTACACTCATTAATAATTCATAATCATTATCCCCTAATTCAGGGGATGGCCAATCACCATCAACGGGAGGGATTTGAAAGAGGTCACTTCATTCACTTATCTAGGGAGCATTGTCTCAACTACAGGAGGAACGGACGAGGATGTCAAATCGAGAATCGGGAAGGCGAGAAACACATTCATCAACCTGAAAACATTCTGGAAATCTTCGTCACTCAGCATCAACAACAAAATGATTCGGATTTTCAATACAAACGTCAAGTCAGTTCTTCTATACGGATGGATCAGAAACTTGGCGGGTCACAAAGAATATTTCCAACAGCCTGTTGCAGAACTTTATCAACAACTGTCTTCGTTCTATACTGAAGATCAGATGGCCGGAAAGAATCACCGACAAGAAACTATGGGAACAAACAAAACAAGAACCAATCGCCCAACAAATATGCAGGAAAAAGTGGAGATGGATTGGACACTCGCTGAGGAGGCCACTGGGTGACATCGCGCTCGAGTGGAACCTGAAAGGGAAGCGGCAAGTGGGACGTCCGAGGGTGACATGGAGGAGATCGTGTGAAGAGGAGCTGAAACAGTGTGGAATAACATGGATGCAGGTGAAAAGTACAGCAGAAGACAGAAGCAAGTGGAGACGTGCAGCTGAAGCTCTATGTTCCACTAGGAACCCAAGGCAATAATAATAATAACAATAATTCCCTAATTCATATCTTTAATCACAACGATATCAAATATAAATGCTGAATAATTTTAAAACTTAATTCTAAAGCCTGTTGAGTAATTACTAGAAATAGGTCTTTACTTCAATCTTTTTCTTTAATACCTTGTTATTTATATACATATATATCTTTTCTGAGAAATAGGAACAAGAAAGATTAGTGGGCTAGCAGTATAATGTCAAGGTACATAAAAACGTTATGATCCTAATCGGCACTACAAAACTACAAACCATAATTCAGAGCTTTGAGAATGAAAAGTGAGAAACACATCTGAAATACATCTGGCTAATAGAGGGAAGCAAAATACACACATCTGCGACAAAATGTCAGATGTAGCACTGCGGTAGCTAATGGAGAGATGTTCCCTCGACTATGAAACAACTTATTTATTAATTATAATTTAGTCACCACTTGCTTTTTGTTTTCATAACCAATTCAAAAGAAATATAAGACAGGGTTTGCCGCGTCTCTAGTACAGTTATGGGTGTACAATACTGAGGAGTGCTAAACTAGGACGGAATAGCTCTCCAGCTCCCCTTCTGATTTCAGTAGTTCTTTTCAAATGTTTTTGGTTTGCAATCAGATCTCCATAAACTCAACATGTTGACATATTATTTTGAATCACACAGTTATCTTGTTCACAACAGGATTCAAACAAATGATTTCCGCCATACTTTTCACAATAACTGGAATGAAATCATTCCTCTAGTTTGTTTTACATTCTGTTTTTATGAGATATGCATAAAAGGAAGCGGCCAAAGGATAAAACAGATCCTAATAAAATCTGAACGGAACACACTATGTTTCAGGCTGGAACATATGTTTCAAGATATTGAGCAGTAAACTGGAAGACACTAAGCCGCTATCACAACACCAATTTTATTCTACTACCATTTTTAAAGAAATTATTATGATGATACAGATAAAAACTGTGAGAAATACTTTTTCAGTTCGTAATATTTTGTATACTTAGGGTTTTCCTTCCAAGTCTTCCATTTTTCTGCAAGATTATCAGGCAAGCTACTAAGTTCAAACACAACAAAAAATTAAGTCTTTTAACCTTTTTTCATCTGAGTAGAGTTCCTGATAAATACTCACTAGCGAATATGAATACTATCTAGTCAATTATAATTCTGCCACTGCTGCTGGAGGTGTGGATGGAGAGATAGTACTTACCGATTGGAAGAAAGGCTACTCTGCCGAGCTACCAAAGAAGAGTGACTTAAACCTTTTCAACAATTGGTGCTAAATCATGTTGCCATCCACCTTAAGCAAAATATTTATCTGCATCATCCTACAAAGACTAAAAGATGCACTGGATGAGAAAATCTGCAGGAGAAAAGTTGAACTTACGAAAAGCAAGTCATGTGAGGACTAAATTACAGCTCTACGCATCATCAGTGAACAGAGCATAGAATCGTACGTGACTCTTTACTTCGACTTTATCAACTCTGGAGCAGCCTCTGATAGCATTGATCTTGAAGTGATTTGGAAACTACTTTAACACAACAGAGTGTCCTAAACATTTGTCAACCTTATTCAATAGCTACATGATTTCGTGGCATGCCAAGCGAATCACAACTGAATACTCAGAGAAACCTTTGAAGCGAAGATAGGAGTAAAATATGGATTCCCAATACCAGTGATGGTATTCGTGACTGTGGTGGAGTGGATCATGCAATAGGCGGTAAGGAGTGGGAAGATGGTTGTACGTCTAACAAACCAGAAGACTTCAGGTGATGTCGAATTCACAGATGATTTATGTCTAATGTCACACCAATTTGAAGATCTACAGGCGAAAGTAACGAGTTGGTAGAAGAGGCAGCGTAGACATATCAGGCACTCAAGTGGAAACTGACTACCAGGAGGCAGATTGGTAGTCTAAGGGTTGCATTAATGCTTTTCAGTAGTCATGGAGTTGGCTGAAAGTAATGACAGATAACCGAATGCAATGGAGATTTTCTTCTGAAGCCCAATATTCTGCTGGGAAAACAGCGAATAAATAATAATTAATTCTAGGCTTGTATTTACCATGAACTCCGAAAAATCCTGGGGAAGTATACGAAGCACAAAACCAGTTAAAGGTGAAATTATATTCATACTAATGGGGCTTTACATAAGATAACGAATAAGTAAAGCCTGTGTCATTGTGATAAGTTCTGAAGACAAAGACCTTCTTTCGTTTATTCGTACAGTTCCCTTAAATACCTGCAGATTTCCGCCTATTAGTAATGAATAAATGAAAAGAAATCACCTTCATTGTTAGACATCTTCAAAAAGAACTGCTTAGTAGCATGTTAAAGTGCATTTACATTGAAGTAAGAGAATGAATATCCAGGACACCTTAGATTTTAATGAGAATGAAGCTACAATCACAGAAAATGAAATCATTGCTTACATTTAAAATTCACTTACATCATCGTAATTCTAGATTTCAGGTACACATTAAAATATTGAGACTTACTTGTTATAATATACAGTAACACACTATTAATGACTGGATGCATACACATATAGCAGTTCCTATGTTCCTCTAGATTAGCTGGATTTATTATTCTAGATCTAGTAAAATAGAATAAATATTACACTAACATTGACTGCTGTTGTTTCATTGTTGTACAAATAAGTTTTTAAAAAAATCATATAAACCACGTTTTCTAATTGACTAAAGTGGAATTATGACATCAAACACTGAACACTGCCTACTTTAGCATAAATCGTTTTATTAACACACTGTAGTGTGTAAGTGGAGTGTTGTTTGAAAAAAAGTGATGTGATAATTAGAGATGGCTAAGTCACTACATCTCTGATTGTAACGTTAGTTGATTTGGGTTCGATCCTTAGGGGTATCGGTATCCTTATTATCGCGGTATTTGATCCTTACTGATGAAAGTCGACAACCATAAGCTTTGAATCTCATGCTTCCTATAGAAAGTGCACTGCTGTGAGCAGTATCCAAGATTATCCAGTACATTTTGGACTGCAGTGGGAGAATATGATATTAACTAAGGTTTAGACAACTTGACGTAAGTTACTCCACGATAACCAGTCGAGTTGTAAAATAGTCCTAAATAATGGAGTTGTAAAAATTTATTTACATAAATTACTATTTTAAGTCATTGAATTCAGAGACATCAAGTTAATTCTTTGTAGTAAGCGTTGTAGTCTGCTTTTCTCCCTGAGATTAAATCCCCATGATACTTATATCTGATAGTTTCAATCAGTTTTTTGAAAGAAAATGCGACACTTGAACAAAAGCGAAGTGAAATGTTCAGAAAAACTATTTGTTCCATCCTGATTGAATCCTAACAGGTGAAATCACACTGTGCACGAAAAGTCAGAGCGAACTAAATTCATTCTATCCTGTCACTTCTGTACAGATAAGATTAGTCGTCATAACAGCCAATACTTTGAGACTAAGTTTGTGAATAACTGACAGTTGCATGTATACTAGGATAAAACATATTGATTAGTTCTCCTTACTCTAAGCTATTAGTAATTCTTTGAATACTACACCAAATGAAATACCTATGAGTAGGTTTGAGTTGATTATGTTGTATATGTAGGCTAAACAGTTTACCTATTCTCCACACAGCATGAAACTATAATCCAAATGATAAACAAACCATATAACGCTGATCGATAGAAATATTCAAAAAAGTATCTTTTTGGTAATAATAAATGTATTTCTGTCTAAACAACATCTTTATCATCAACTGCAGAACTATGGAGTTAAAACTAAAGATGCTGTCTAGAAGAACAGTGAAAGCTTCTAAGTTAAGCCATGCAGCTCACTGAACAAAACATTAAAAACATCGACCTAAGCTAAAAATTCTCTT